TTCAAAAATCCTAAATCTGGACACTAGGATGCCAAATGCATTTTCAAGTATTCTGCGCGTCCTAGATAGTCTGTAATTAAAAATCTTCTGTTCGTACGTCAGAGGTGAGTGTGGGTAAGGTTTCAATAAATACGTTTTGAGTGGAAATGCTGCATCTCCTACAAAAAAACCACCAGTTGGTAACATGCCATTTTCAAGATCCTTTAAAATAGAACTATTTTGGAAAACACCGCCATCCGAGCATCTCCCATTAGCTCCAACATTAATATAACTAAAACAATAATCATCATCAACAACCGCTAATAAAATTATACTGCTTGACCCTTTGTAGTTATAAAAATCACTGCCACAATCAGGTGGTGCACGAATCATTACATGTTTCCCATCTATGGCGCCATATGCCCCCGGACAATTCCATCTTGAATTAAAACCTCTTTCTATAATATTCCATTCGTCATGAGTAGCAGGTACCTGAAACATTGTATTTAATAGTACATTAATTAATTGGTAAAGAAATAGGTAGTCATTATTAATTTTGTAAAATGTTATGAAAAAAAAAGAAAATCTTATTTTTTACATTTTTAGTGCACTTCTTTATGTAAATTTAATTATTTTCAGACCGTAACGAATTCTAGTTCGGAAAATTATACTCAAAGTATTGAATCTCAATACATCCAAGAGACTGAAGAAACTAATATTGACATTATACCTATGAATTCATGAGAAACATTCGAAAACAATAGAGAACCTAGCAAAACAAACAAAAAAGAAACCAATAGGAAAGGCATTTTTCGTGCAATTAATGAACTGAAACAATTACAAGAAATTATAAAAGATCAGCCAGAAGTACCAGAAAATCAGTTTGATTGCTTTGGGAAGAGTGTGGCATCCCAATTAAAACAATTAAATTATGAAAATGTATTGATCGCTCAATCTAGAATACAAACAATATTGACTGAACTGGCTATTCAAAACTATAGGAGGCCATATTCTAGTATGTCAAGTATGACAAGTTCAACTGATAGATCAGATCCATTATCACCTGATAATGATGATAATAATGATATTTTAGCTAAGGCAGTAGGCATCTCTTTAATCAATGTTGATGATCATCATTATTAAAACATAACATATTTTCTATTATAATTTTAATAGTAAGTTGTAACTGTTATTATTATTTGTTATTTAATAATAATCAATTCTTATAAAATGTTTTTTTAATGTTAAAAGTTTTAAAATTTAATTTGCTATTATTATTATGTTTTTTTTGTTATTTAATAATAATCAATTCTTATAAAATGTTTTTTTTAATGTTAAAAGTTTTAAAGTGTAATTTGCTATTATTATTATGTTTTTTTTAATGTTAAAAGTTTATCGAAGACATGATTTACTACTTAACAAATAAAATATATTCTTACATTATATGAAGTTTTATTTACTATTTCACTTACTTTTATATAATCTTTAAGGATATCATATATAGCGTCCAAAACTTCTGGAACAAACACACTAATGGCTGGTTTTGAAACCCGGAAAAAGTGAGATAAACTCCTATAACTATTTTCGGTTGCTAAAAATGATAATGTTACTTCTAATTTGATTTTTGCAGGTATCGCAAGTCTCATGACTGTATCTTCACGTTGTATTCGGTATCTTATATTTTTTAACAAAAAGTCAAATTGAACAGGTGTTATTCTCATAAACCTTTTGTATTCCATTTGATCTTCTACTGCGAGCTCTCTTAATAGACCAACTGAATTGCCATGTGTATCCCTTCTAAGTAACCATTTTTTTGTCCAGATCCGTTTTTGTCTTTTTCTTATTTCAACTTCTAGTTCATCTATGATTGATAAAATTATTATGTTTGAATAATATTTCACACTTTGTTTTACGATATGACGACGGTCCATTATATACTTCTTCACTTTTTTAAATGTAATTTAATATTATTATCAATGATTATCATATATAAATGATAATAAATATACTACTATTTACTAATACTATACACCCCGTGTAAACAGTAAAAAAACTGTGCTTAATGCTTAGTGCGAGTACGAGTGCGAGTGTCATGTGACCGCTCAATCAATGAGCGAGTGCGAGTAACAAGTGCCAGTGACAAGTACTAATGACAATTACTACGCATCGTGTAAACCCGGCTTCAGTAGTAGTAACTAGTGACAATCAATAATTGATACTGTCTATAAGATAATAATTATTATTGTTTTCGGAATAATAGATTAAAGACTTGATAATAATATGGTAGAATCATTTTTATTATCATATTATTACTCTATGTTTTATACTTTTTATACATTTATGCATGGGTTGTACTATCTACTACTAAAAAATAAAACAAAATAACTAACCATTTTGTATTTTTGTAATTGGTACAAGAAAATTATAAATTATATATAATTTAAATTTGGTTGTGTTGTTTTTTAAGTATTTTTTTACCAAGTAAATCATAAAAGTAAGTATAAGTAAAAAGTGTAGTATAACTTTATAAACAAATTGTGTTAAATAGTTGATATTATACTATACATCATAGGCGTAAACTGTGGAGGGTGGTGAGAGGGGACAACTGCTCCCCTTGATATTTTGTAAAATGAATTTATTAGGTATATTTAATCTCCAAGTATCTTTTAGTATACGGTATATTGTCATAAAATAATTTTTGTCCTCTTATAAAAATTTCCCGAGTTACGCCCATGATATACATGGTATTATTTATCATATTTTTCTCTTATTTAATTGTGTTAACATTTACAAAACAAACATGCTAAAAAATCTTTTTTTTTAATAGCTTTTAAAGTTATTAAATTGATCTTTTTTTTTTAAATATTACAAAATACATATAATCTAAAATGCTGAATACAATTTTCAATACTAACACAATATTAAATAATATTTATTTCTATATTAACTTCAGTACTTGAAGTAGTTAAATTTAATCGGTGAGCTTGTCTTTTACACATCCGTGGAATTTTAACATCAATATTTAACACGCCTGATTTAGACACAGATCGATTAAAAGTATCAGTAAATTTTGTATCTTCTCTGTTATTTTTAAGAGCAACCAACACAAGATTTATCATTTCAATACACTTTGTTAAATCTAAATCTGGATTTTGTAGCTGACGTGATATTGGCAAAGTTATTGACAGTATTTCGACCGCTACTTCCAAAGACAAAATAAATTCAAAATTGAATACTGATTGAAGAAGTCCATTGCATTTTGAAAGTATATTTCCATCTATATTACCTATTATATCTTCCAAGAATATTATAATAGGCAAAAGCATATCCGAAAATCTAAGAATCGCCTCATGAGATTCAACCCATCGCGTTTCGCATAGTTTTATTAAAATAATAGATTTTGATGTCGGTAAATGTTCAATGATTACTTTTTTAAACAAATCAACTCTTTTCGGGGAATCACGTACAAAATCGCATACTTCTTTAACGGTCGAAAATAATTTTTTTATTGGTAGTATATTGCAAGCTTTTAATAATGTTAAATTTAACCGATGTGATGCACAATGTGTATAAGACGCTTTTGGTTGTAAATTAAGAATTCTAGCTTGTACTCCTTTATATTTCCCCGACATATTAGCACCTCCATTATATCCTTTGTTGTTTACCTTCAAAACATTTACTAAATTCCAATGATCGTAAAGTTGCAGTTTTATGATATTCTCTTTCACAGTGTTTTTTTAAATCATATAAAGCATCTTTGTACTTAATTAAAGGAGTTTATTTCAAGATTTCAAACTTTTGTCCCCCAATACTACGCACCTTTGGTCCAAAAAGTACACAAACTTTGCAAAAAGCTTTCTTACTTAAATTACTATAAGCTAACCAATTGTATTTATCTATCCATTCAATACGAAAACTTCTACTATGACCGGTTTTATTTTTTGTTACTGGAAAAATATAATTTTTATTTGGAGTTCACGTTTTACTTAAATAATTATAAAGTTCATTTATCTCTTTTCGTATTTTAACATTATATTCCTCTTCAACTGCGAATCCTATATCATACTCTTTAGTATCATTAATTTCCGACGAATTAGTGTAAACAACTCGTTCTTGTTGTGAAGCAGTTTCATTCAAAATATTTTCACTTGTAGGAGTACTATTGTCATCAACTTTTTTTTTTTTTTTAAGAAAGAAGTAAATATTTCACTTTGACGTTTTTGTGATATTATATAACGAACAACGAAGGCAAGACGATACTCAACGACAAAAGTAAACTAAACCAAATCATACAATATTTTAACCTATTACTAATAATTGTTCATTTCAGATAAGATATTTGACACTGGCTGCAAGTTATGTCATTTTACATCAATCTAATAGGCGATAAGATAAGACGTTATATTATAGCGGCATTCACGGTTGACTTATAAATAAAAAGTATAATATAATTAAATATTAAGTATCAAAACAAATTCAAAACCTGAATTTTTCGTAAATCGTGATTATAAATTTAAGTCACGGTTATATTCTTACGCATCTTATGGGCCAAGGGTGGGCCCAGGCCCCTCTGGCCCCCCTTAAATCCGCCACTGCTTAATATTCAGTAATGAATTTACCAGGGGGTCCAGGAATACTAAACTCAACTAATGAATACCCTTCGAGAAAAAATTAAAATAATAATGTTATTGAATAAATTAATAATATAATAATAAATTTAGACATAAATTATTATTACAGTTGCAATTGTTAGAAAATTAAGAGAAAAAATTATCTTTATAACATATACAAAAAAAAAAATATATATATTATTTCAATTGTGTCAAATTAAAAAAATGACATATTAAGAAAATTTAGTATTACAAATGTAAAAGCCATTAATATTTACAATACATAAGACAATGAATAGATATAATGTACAATTGAAATTAGTAGCATAGAAATTAAAGTAAAATTTAAAAGTAACTTAATTATCAAAAAAAAAAAAAAAAAGATCTACTTTAAGATAAACTCATAACAAAATATATGTTAAATCACTACATAATTTAATTTAAATTAGTACTTTAATAGATACCTAATTAGAGAAAAGAAACAAAATTTGATCCATTTTTCGACGTATGAAAAATACATGGTGTTAGTTCATGTTCAATAACAAAACAAACCATATCCCTATATTTTGTAACTTTAAATGCTTGCATATTCTCATTAAATTCTCTCTTCTCTCTTCTTTACTAAAGGCCTTGCCTTGTCGTTGCAAATCTGGCTTTCCATTCTTCTCTATTAGAAGCCAATCTTTTCATTTCTGTATATCGACTACAACCAGCTTGTTTTATCATTTCTTCTATGTATGCTTTCCTCGGTATGACTCTTCCTTTATAACCGTTTATTCGTCCCTCAAATATATTTGTCATAAACAAATTATGCCTAAGTAGATGACCGAACATTTTTCCACTTCTTTCTTTTATGGTGTTTAATAAGATTCTTTTTTCTTCTACTTGGTCTAATACATCTACGTTACTTTTCCTTTCTGTCCAGCTGATTTTTAACAGTCTTCTCCATATCCATATTTCTATGGCTTCTAACTTCTTTTTGTCTTCTCCATTAATAGTCCATGTTTCACAACCGTACAATAGTACACTCCACACATAACATTTGACAAAGTTTTTCCTCATATTTATATTTAGTTTTTTGTTTGTAAGTAACTGCCGTTTTTGTGTAAATGCTCTCTTTGCCATAGCTATTCTTTGTCTGAAATTTCTTTGTCATTAAATTCTAAGGTATTTAATTTACAACATATTAAAAATGGTGTTAATTCAGCATTTATAAAAATATATTTTATAGTTACAAAATTAGGAATAGTTTCCATATTAAACATTAATGTAATACCATTAACATAACGAATACCATATGCATTTTCCCAAGATATAAATTTAACATTATTCAAATCATACAATAAATGGTTATTAATTAAGTTATTTGTAATTTTATCAATAGTAAATTTAGACAATACAATTTGACGACCATAATTTAAAGAATCTGATAATTATTATTTGATATAGATTGGTAAGCAAGTTTTAGTTGATGTTGAAGACTTAAGGAATAACAAATATTTTTTCTGCATGTAATGGACTGTGCAGTCATTTTTAACTCTTGATGTTTTGATTCAAATCTCATTAACCAAATGTTAAGGACCAATTTTCTCCATAATAAATGAATAATGAACTATGTGGTGGTGTTTTGGTTTTAGATTTATATTGAATAATTTTATATATAGTTCATAATGTTCTATTATCAATACTTTAAATATAGCTGGATAATCATTATTTATTATTTTAGAAGTTATAATATTAATAATTTGATTTAAAATAACATAAATTTGCCAGATTTCTGAGTTGATAGGCATTAAGTCACCGATCATAATTCCTAAACAATTAGTGAAACACAGTATTTTACTGGCAGACATTTTAAGTTTATTTTATTTTAAAAAGTCAAGAGATATTGGCTGAGGTTTATTTTGTATATTATGAGGACCATAATCGAAATTAACTAAACGTTGATTTAAAAGTTCTAATGAAAAATATTTAAAATTTAAAATAAAACTTTTTAGTATTTCAGATAGATCATAATTGCACACACCTTCAAGGCAATCGTGCATAAGATCTATCGAAAAGTTATTTGTTACATGAAAATTAATTGCATTGTTCCAAACACAAGGTTCTTTTATTCCCGTCAATGATAAATTATTAATTTTTAAATCCTCTGAATAGTTTGTAATTTTTCTAAGACTATTGATATTTTGAGAAGTTTGGATATTACAGTCTGCTTTTGAAGTTTTACAAAATCGGCATGGGAAGTTAGCCATGAAGTTTTCAGAAAAACCTAAGATCGAATGTAAACCTAGGTTATCTCCAACTATTAATGTTATAGAAAAATAATATTTATAACTTTTATCATCAACAACTTTGTCAACACCAGTAATTTCTAAAAAATTAATTTCTTCGATTAATTTATTAAAAATTATTTTATTTCCAAAATCTTTTCTAACAGTTGAGTTGAATAGTTTTGCTAAAAAAATATTATTTAACTTAGAAGAATATTTGGAAGGCAAATACGGACTTAGTGAAATATATATGGCTCCTAATTTTTGTATGCCTGCATGTGTCCCCAATGGATTATTTGTCTCATAATCATCAAAGAACAAAATGTATGCTATAAATCAGGGGTCTCCAACCTACGGCCCGCGGGCCGAATCCGGCCCGCCAAGGTTTTTACACCGGCCCGCCTAGCTAATTAATGTTTTAAAAATAATATATAAAAAAACATTAATATTAATATTAATTTTCATTAGTTTAATTTATTTTTTATTGAATTAATTAATAAAATAAAATAAATTTATTATTTTTTTTTCTTTTGGTATTATTCATAACAATTTATGTTTGTAAATATATACTAACACGAATAATAGAAAAACTCGTCAATCACACTTATCTGCCTAATATTGTACTCAAAACTTACGCGATTGTCAGATAAGATATGATCGACTTTTTCCGTTGTAATAATAATGCTATCGAACGTGTGATCGACGGGTTTTTCTAACTGCGTGAGTCCACTGTAGTATATTGGGTATAATTTATAAATTATGTAGAATCAGTTTTTATGATTATTGTAGTTAAGTGTCATTTATTATCGAGTGTAGTGCTCTGTGCTGTATTAAAATAAATATGAGTTTAAGTAAAAAACGGAAAGTCGATACAGAGTGCCGTGTTTTTAACAAAAAGTGGAATAATGACTATTTCTTCATTGAACAAAATAATGTTGCTTTATGCGTTATTTGCAAGGAAAATGTTGCTGTTTTGAAACAATATAATATTGGTAGACATTATAAAAGCAAGCACGCATCTACATATAACGACCTATCTGGTTAACTACGATCGGACAAATTTGAAACCTTAAAACAGAATTTACTAGCTCAACAGTCAATTTTTATTAAACGGTCATGTCAAAATGAATCTCTCGTAAAAGCAAGTTTTCAAGTAGCCCGTACTCTGGCGATAGCCGGAAAACCGTTTACTGATGGCCAAATTGTAAAGGAGTGCATTTTGAAAACAGTTGAAGAGATTTGTCCCGATAAAATCAATTTATTCACCGGTATTAGCTTGTCAGCGAATA